TTTTTTTTTTTAGACTTTAGAAACTCAGAAGCTGATCAAATATCGGGTTAAATATCGGTGGGGGGGCCGATATTCAGTTTTAAGGCCGATACCGATAGGGGGCCGATTATATCCTGCATCCCTAGTAACTACTACAGGCCCCCCCTGTTCCTTACCTTCTTCCATATGGCAGCATGTTGGCTCCTCAGATGTCGCTGAGATCCGCTGTGTTCATTCCTGCCATGTTGAAGCTGCACAGGTAGCGGTTCTTTCCCTCCTGTGCTTTCTGATCTGCCCACAGATTTAAAAAAGCAGCCTTATGTTTATCTCCTGGAGGCGAGGCATCAATTACGTCTCATCTGAGTAACACTTTCTTCCTCTCAATCTCAGGACACATGTACCTGAGTTTTTAACAACTGTCTGACCTGATTCTGTTCTTGACTTGTCTAGAGGGAATCTAACTCACACCCTGCCAACTAAAGCATTCTCTTTGCTTTGAAACGAGGCCCTCTGCTGTTTCAGCCTCTCCAGAAATCAATAAGCTGCTTTCCCTGCGACTGTGACAAGGCTTCACTCACCTGTTGGTGGTTTCCATTGTTCAGAGTCTGTCTCCTGGTCATAAAGGTGGTTGGTAATAGTTTCCCCTCTAAACACAGTACCTCCTGGGGGGGGGGGGGGGGGGATCAGCAAAATATGCTTCAGTACAGATAAATGATTCGTTAAATTGTCTCCCGTGAAAATAATTTAATTTTCACAAGAAAACAGAGAAATCCAGGTCGGGAACGGTGCATCGTTTCCAGTCATGAACTGATTGTTGGTCTGCTAAAGGAGCGTTAGCATCTTCTGCCAAACATCCTTTTTTTAACTGCTTTTTAACTGAGTTCATCATAACTCGCCGTATTCTGTTATTTCTGCCAGTTGGAATTTCCCACTTCATTTAGTTTTTGCCCAGTTTTCTCCAATTCATATCTCTTGTATATTTCTTAGTCTTTATGTTGATTTTATTTCTTATTTCCACTCTCTGGTCATTTCTTTCCGTATTATCTGTTTAATCCAGTTTAATACAGTTTAATCCAGTTTAATCCTTTCTCCCTCAGCCAAAGGTTTCTGGTAATTAGTGGATGTTCACCGGTGTCTCCATATTTTGCTTGTTGTTTCTGCCTGTTTTGCTCATTATTCAGTCCTTCTGTTAGCTGTCAGCACTGATTCAATAGCTTCATGTCTGGTTGTTCACCTGCTGTCACTTTCTCACTAAAATCTTAAAACCTACAATGCTGCTCCAGTGCACTTTGGTCCTGAACCCTGACGTGACAATTACTGCTAAGTTCATATAAACAGTTATTCTACTAATAGTGAAGAAACAAGAATGACGGTTTAGACAAAACAAACATCTTTTAGATCATCTTCCTTGATCTTCTTTGTGTTGGTCTGTCACATAAGATCCCAGTTTAAATCTGACGTTAGTGTTTAAACTGGTTATTAACACATAATGAGCTTTTTCAGTCCAGTTACGATTCCCTCTGTTTTTCGTCAGTACCTTGGCTACTTTGGAGATGCCAAAATGTGCTACCAGCGTCTATACGTGAAGTTCCTGGAGAACGTCAACAAGAAGGACTACGTGCGCGTGTGTTCTCGGAAGCCATGGCATCGAACTGCTCTGGCCCTAAGGTACGGTGGCAGGCTGTCTTTCTCACATCTATGGATTCAATTTGATCCCAAATCACTGTTTAACATCCAGGGCCTGAGGAGAGGCACTCACTCTGTGTCTGTCCTTCCTTCCAACCTTCTGTCTGACAGACGGCAGTCTCTGGCCAAACAGCTGCTGAGCAGCCACAGTCAGCCCCGAGCGGAGAGAGAAGACAGAGACAAGGAGAGACAGAAAGAACGAGACCTGAAGGAGCAGAGAGCCAGAGAGAGGAGAGAGGAGAGGGAGAAACAGGAGAGGGAGCACAAAGAAAAAATGATTAGAGAACGAGAACGGAGGGAGAGCAGTGAAAAGGAGAGAGAGAATGAGCAGAGAGAGAGGAGAGAAGCAGAGGAGAAGGACAGACAGAGAGAGCAAGAGAAACGAGAACAAGAGTGGAGAGAAAGACAGAGAAGAGAGAGGGAACAGCAGGAGTTTGAACGGAAAGAGAGAAGGATGGAAATCCTCCAACAGGAGAGGAAAAGAGAAAAGAAGCAGAGGGAGCAGAAAGAAAGGGAGCAAAGAGAAGCTGAAAGAGAAAAGAGACGGGGACAAGATGGAAGCCTGGGAAGTCCAAAAGAAGAGAGGACTTCAAAAGACAGAGCTGAGCCTCCACCAAAGAAGAGGAAGACGTGGCTGAAGGAGGTACCGTCCTCCTCCTCCGAGTCTGACTCCTCCCGGCACAGTGACGATGAAGGTCAGCAGTTCCGCGTGGTCGTTCATGTCCGTCACGCTAATCAGGATGGTGATCAGACTTCATATCATTATTATGGACATGATGAATGACATTAAACTGTTTGTTCTAAAAACGGTCCGCACCGTGACGTCACTAACCAGCAGGTGGCAGTAGTGTTCTTTGACAAACATGGATGTCTCCAGTAAAGCACATTCACAGGAAAATTACTCTGAATTAAAAACACTGATCATTTATTGAACAGGATGGAATCATTTCAGATTTAAAGAACTTTCAGAAGTTTGAATCCTGAATATGAGCGACTTTTCCTTTAAAGGACACAAAGTTAGATGGTGTGAAAGGAGAGATAGAGGAAGCTGAAC